TAGGGAAAGGAACTGCCATCTTAAGACTTAGGGGTCTGAGCAGGCATGTTTTAACGTGCTTTATTCCTCCCTCTTTGTTCCTACTCCACGATTCTATCCTTTTGCATTTGTAATGTAGCATAAAAAATAACGTTAAAAAAAATTATCGGACATTATCTATCATTAATAAAGTTATGCCTCATAGAGATGAATTAGCTTATAAGTAGGTAACCTCCATGTGATCATAATTACAAATTGGGTATTGACTTGAAATTTCCATGATCTAATTCCTTGTACAACTACCTGATTTGATTAATTCTTTGTCCTCGATTTACCTTACACAGATTCTACAAATCAAAAATGTAGTATACTTCGTTTTTAAACTTTGCTGTCGTACGGGTAGATATTCTCACGTATATATACCTGCCAACAAATTTTTAAAAAACCAAAAATTTCCCAAAGATTTAATTTTCCTGCGAGATTAGGGAATATAGAATATAGTCAATTTTTTGCGACCACATTTATTATATTTTTATAATATATTAAATTCGATCTGCAATTAATTAGACTTAATGCGGATGTGTCAATAGAAATTAATTTATTCACTAACCTAAATTAGTATTATTATTATTATCCGCAGTTGAAAAAAGATGTCCTACGAAGATAAAAGCAGGCTTACGAAGTTCACAGAACGCCCGAGTACCTCAAACTCCATAATAAAAATGTGGGTTCTACTAGAGGGTGATCCGAATCCCGATAAGTTGGAGGCTGACATATCTCAAGTCACGGACTTGGCTGATTTCAAACGTATTCTCAAGAACGAGTTCGAACCGTTAAAAAATGTCAGACCGCAAAATATCGTATTTTTAGATAGCAATAAGCAACCTCTTCGACCGGGCATCGAACTCAAATCCCTGTCAGAAAATTCAACAGACATAAACCCACTAATTGTTCGTTATCCACTTTCGGATGCAAATGGTAAATGAAGTTTTTATTTTCTTGCTTTGTTTTTTCCGTAAAATAAATACTATTAGTTTCCATTCAAATGCAGTTGTAGTAAATTACACGTTTGGACATAAACCGGGTAAATGTAAGATGCAACATACAACTGGTTCCTTAAGTTCGTTACGAGAAGCCGTCGTAGAAAAATTCAACGAGTTACAAACAGGGGAATT